CCGCCGCCGCCCGCTCCGCCGCCGTGTTCAAGGAGCCCGCGACTCTTGAATCCGCCAATGAGGGAGGGAGGGCGTGGCTGGCCGGGCGCCGGCTGTGACGCGGCCCGACGGGAGCCGCCGCGGGTCAAGCGAGCCCGAAAAGTCAGCGGAGCCTGCAAGAGCGGTGCCGTAGCCCCACCCACGGCGGCTTCGTAGTGCTGGGGCCCCGCCCCCAAGCGCCTCCGTCACTGGCTACCAGCCGCTCGAGGCGTGGGGCCTCGGCCCTGAAGTCCCAGCTCGAGTGCGCGGCAGCTCGGCCTGCCCATCGCCCTGGCCCTGCCAGACCACCTCTTAGGGCCGGAGACGCGGTGTTGCCGGTCTATGAGAATTACTGTATCTGTGCCATAACGTCTACCACTACCACGTAGGAGCGTGGGATGTTTGAGGCGGCTAATTAATGTTGCATACGCAAAAGTAGGGACTTTTAACTGGCTTTTAGCGGTTTGGTGTTTTGTTTTTTTGGGGGACGGGGACGGGTTAATGTTCCAGGTCTAATTATCCAGCTCAGTTCTGAAGCCTATAAATCATTCCAAAATCGTATGTCAGCGTCTTTTGGGGGGGGGGAGTTTCATGTTCCAAGCCAAATCAATTTCAAATCCATGAGTCAGTCCAGAACCAGAAGTGGCCCCACTACAGGCAGACATCCTCTGCCTGCACCTGGGGCTTCAGCTGTTCCCTAAACCTTTGATAGGCATCCTACTTGCAGGCCCAAGCCCAGAGGCTTGGGGTTTGGATGCCCCCACGTTTCGCTTGTCTTCAGCTGTAAGGCCCTTGGAGCAAGCGAGGGAGGAGAGTCCCATTTCCATAAACTGGGTTTAACTCCACTGCAACTCAGTGGATACTGAACCATGCCAGAAGAGCAGTTCTACTGGGGTGCGGTTCAGGAAAACTGCTTTCACGGACACAGATACATGGTATTTTCCCTGCCAGGTTAAGAAGCCACTGCACTTGGTCTGGGCCTTTAAAAGGCCTTTAGGTTTGCTGTCAGCACTTCCTATGACATCTCAAAATAAAGAGATGCTTAAACTTTGACACAGTTCTCACTCGCTCACTGGTTACTTACTGTGATCAATATAAAGTAAGACTAATTTGCATACTCATTTGCACATTTTTTCAGTGAATGATAGTTTTTCAGCAAATGCAATAATTTTGAGCTTCTAATATGATCATTTCATATTTAAGACCTGGCAATGCTGCTGCAACACCACCTTGGCAGACTACGGCCCAGGGCTGCAAGCCTACCAGCCGTATGTCACTGATGCCTGTGGCTACTCATCCACTAGCACTTACACCGGGGACCCAAAACTAACCTGAGAGGCACCTGTTGTTTCCCTCCCCCCTCCAATGACACGTGGCCTTGTTACAACAGCACAGAGCTTTGTAACCCTTCACCCCAGGGAGGGCTACGCCAACATCCTTCCCCAGGTTTCTCCATACTAAGAAATCTCAGGCCTTGACTGATACGGTAAATGGTGTATTTTAGATCATAAATCATGGGGAATAGGATCTTTAAAAAAAACAACCATGTTTGTAAAGATCAGGACACTTTGGACATTACTGTTTTGAAATCCACAGGGATATTGGAGTATGCTAGAGACACATTAAATGGTAGGTTAGAGAACGATTAAAAACATTCAGTGTTAACCTAGTGCTTGTGTGAAAGGTAATGAGCTAATTGTTTGCAAACAGAAGTCTTTTTTAAGGACATTTTTCACATCCCAAGTCAAATTAGCCAGATCAGGTCCAAATTCATTTGAATTGTGCAAGAAACATATGTTGCCCTGTTACCAGTAAGAATCCTCCACCTCAGCCTGGGGCTTCAGATGCTTCCAAATCCGTTGGCAGGCATCCTATGTGCAGGCCCAAGTCTGGAGCTCTAAGCAATCTTACAGCTCTTTCATACAGCAACCAACTTTTAGATGCTAATGACCTTTGTTTGTTGCTGATTAGGGCTGGATCTGGAAAGATTTAGAGCCCAAACTATAAACAAGGGTTTACAGTCACAAAATGACTTGGGTTCTGTCACATTTGCACTGCCTCTCCTAGTGGCTAGTGCAGTTGATTCTCAAACTTTTTAGACTCAAGGCACCCCTCAGAAAAGGCCAGCTCTTAGTATTCACTCACTTATTTTTACTTTGGAAAAACAATTGGACAATCCTTCTGTTGCAGAGCAATCAGAAAGACTACAACAGGTCAGAATTCTTCTAGCACTATTGACTCCTGTTTGAAATCTCTGGGTTTAGGCTGTGAATTGTGTTTGCAGACCTAACAGTGCTAACACCCTTAAACATCTGAGTACCTAGGAAACGTTTAAGCTGCCTCCAGGGCTTGGTGGTAGTTGAGCAGGTTTTGACGATCTGAACTTTGGATGTGGACACCTAATGTTCTTCTGTGGATCTAGCTCAAAACTTATACTAACTTCAAAAGGTCAAGTTCTTTCCCTCCTTTGATGTTTTACCATTCATTCCCAGTAACAGCAACCAGCGTTAAAGCATTACAGATTTGATCTTGGAAGGTGCTGACGACTTTGGCCCACCCAACAAAAGACTATTCACCCCTAGTAAACAAAGCATTTAGACAGGTACATACATTTCACTGCCTTCAAATGCAAACACATACTTGAGTGCTTTGCTCAATGGCAGTGAACTTTAGTACATGCATTAAAGCTACAATTCAGCAAAGCACGTAACTATTTTTCAAGCTCAGAGTTTGGGTGTTTCACACTCTGAAGGATCATGTTCTTCTGCTTCGTGTGAGACTGAAGGGATATACCATTATAGGCAACAGGCTATCGCCAATTCCATTACTGCCAGCTCCACAAACTGGCTGGCTGCTTTTGCCGGGAGGGAAGTGCACAATAATTTCAGTTTGTATTTCTGTGCATCTTTATTTAAACATAACCATAATTCATTGCAAGAAAAAAGGATCTATTTTCTGCTAGATCAAAAGCCAGCTACTCTACAGACATATATAAGCTGAGCTTCCTTGTCCAACACAATTTAGATTACATAAAGATCAAACGCAATGCATTTTTTCTATGAAGATAATGAAATAACAGAGCATAGTTCAGAGCCCTGCAAATTACACTGTCAAACCTAAGTGTTAAGATGAATCATACTGGATGGTAGATCTTACGGGAAGATCCAAATGCAGTGAGCTGTGGTGTTGGAAACTATAGATCAGGTCTGCCCATCCTTTCAGCAGCTGGGGGCTGAACACTCTGTGGGCTGCACTAGAGGCCACATCAGCAGTGCTGCTACTGCATCATGCTCCAATACCTCACCCCCATGCATCCTCCTTCACTGCTGCACTGGGTGCATGTCCTCTCCCCCACTGCTGCACTATGCAAACTTGTGGCCACAGACTCCTGCACTGCCCTGTTCCCTGGGGCAAGAGCAGGCAACAAAAGCTGGAGGAGGGAGGGGAAGCCTGGAGACTGGTAGCTATTGAAGCCGGAATGATGTGGGGAGCAGCAGTGAGCCAGGAGCCGATGGACCACAACTTAATCCCTTGCAGGTCACATGTGGCCCATGGTCCAGCTGCTGGACAGCCCTGCTGTAGGCAATATAATTTCTTCCTCGACTCAAACTCTACAATAACTTCAATGCCCCGTCCCTGTCTAATGCTCATTACAGGATCAGCACTCTTGACAGTACTGAGCCCAAAGTACTGATGGATAGCATCTGATGTCTTCCAGATGAGCAGCCCAGATTACTTGTCATTAAAGACTTGATATCAACTACCCTTGAGATCTCTTGTTTTGTGAGAACATAACTGGACTCTTCCATCTTGGGAGTAAGTTTCAATGCAGGCACAACTATTCTGTTTATAGAAGTCTTGTAAGATAATCAGTTAATCATTTTCTGTTCGGCTCTGTTCCTTTTCCCAGAATGTAGGGCACAAGGATAATAATAAATAGTGAACAAAACAAAAGTAAAAGATCCTAGCATTTTGGCATTTGAAAAATATTAAGGTTGAATTCACCTTTTTTAGAACTGATTGGGTTTTACTATGTATATTACAGAACAGTAAAGACATTTTAAACACTATGCAACACCCCAACTGCCTTGGCAGGGATATTTCCCCTTCCAATTTATTCCAGTTATCAGAAAATGTCACCAACTAAACAACTGGAAATAGTTTATCTGTTTTTTTAAATCCCAAGATCAATTCAAAATTAAAGAACTGTGAAGCATGTTTTTGTCTTCTCATCATTTGGTACAACTGCCAGGACTCTATATAATTGTTTACTGCTTTGTTACACTCAATCAATTGAACTCCCTTCCTACCAAGCTTTGTGCTTGTACTAATAGGATTTATTAACACAAGCTGGGAACAGCTAGGGCCTTGCTTTTGTATCAGTAGGTGTTTCATAAAAACAGCAGAGAAGATTGAAAAGAAAAATGTGACAGACAAAGTACTGTGACATGGACAATCGGGAAGGTGCTGAGGCTCTATTTCTTTTCCTCTTCTAGCTGAGGGGCAGCCTGACTGTGCAGTTGAGTGGTTAAAACACTCACCGTCAAGGGAAGAGGTCTCATCTGTTGCTCAAACTGGACAGCACCTGAGAGAATACTGGCATTTTACTTTTCTGCCTTCCATGACCAGTGATGTTTAAGCCACACCACATCAAAAGCCAGTGTAGCAGAGTACTTTGACTTGCCTGACGAGTGGGTTTGAGGAAAAGTTGCTTCCTCGGTCTAGCACACAGCACAGAACCAGTAACATTAGGGTCATATTTTCAAGTTTTCTTTGCAAACATGAGGATGGAATCTAAACTTTCATTTAAAACAAAAACAAAAACTCTGTTTCTGGCATGACCAGGTAATGCTAGGAGGCAGGCTTAGTTTATCATCTCTGTATCATCAGTACAGTCCATAACTGTATTGGTTATTTGAAAGTGTGTATATTAAAATGTAGTATTACTCACTGATGAAATGTTTATCTCTGTCTGATGCTGTACAGGACAAAAGATACTATTCCCTGCTTGAGTGGGTTTAACCCCAAAGAAAATAAACAGAAATGTCTTTTCACAACATTTTTAGAAAGCACAGGAGATACTATTTTTACTAAAATATATTAAAGTTTTTGGACTTTGTAGTAGAGAGTTTTGAGAAGGGACTGGGAAGAGGGTGAGTGCATGATGAATTGTGACAGCAAAAATTTCAGGTATATGAGTACTAGGAGGAAATTTAATTAAATCCAATGTAAAGAGCATATATGCCCAAGTGTTTGTATAGCCTCAAAAACTGTAAACTTACCCAAACAGATTATACATGGAACAGAATGAAACTATACACGTAATTACCCTTTAAGGACAGGAGTCACTTTTTCATCTCCTATATACACAATTGTCTATACTACACACAAAATTTACAATATGGTACCATTTTTGGTATACAGTAAGCAAAATGTGCTATGGCTACACATTCAATTAAGCTCCCAATACATTTAAAATAAAATAGATCCCAAGAAAGACTACTTTCTGTTGAACTCTTACAACTGTGGAATCTTTTTCCATGTCCTGTTTGACTAGGTTAAAAAAATTTATAAAAAGGATTTTGAATATTTGCAACTATAAAATTTTGGGTTTTTTTAGCTATTTATGATCAGCACTAAAGTAAATATAATATTCTGTATATGCATTTAACATAAGCAACATATGTTACATCTATTGTCTTCAGCTGGATTGCAAAAGTTTGAATAAATACTAGAAATGGGGATCAACTAAAGAAATAGTAACACACAAAAAAGATAAAGTATATAAAAGACAAATCAGGATGTAGTTGAAACATTTTTAAATTCAAGATATTAAATATCAGGTGTTCCTGTTTCACATGACTATTGTTTTCCTTAACAGGCTCATACCTCTTTTTACCATTTCTCCCAATTTAGGCAGCAGCATCAAAGAAAGCAATCAATGCATTTTGGTCATAGCTGTCCAGAATTTCCAGAAGAAGAGGAACTTTGCTTTTGACATTGGTGCCTTTAAATTTAAATTTATCTATGAAGAGATCTGTAATCATACCTGCAAAAGCAATGTTAAAATTTCAAGGTTAATTCTTTGCTTTACTACTAACGCTCAAAAAAACCCCAAACCTCGTATTTGTTACATTATAATTGACTTTGTTTAGAAGCAAAATTCTTTTCTTTTAAAACAGTACACTTTAAACACTAGTTTACAATTAAATAACCCAAATCCTTAAAGTGACTTTATTCTATGTGGCAACGTGCCTAACTTTAAATTGCCTGCTTTGCATGTGAAAAATGCTCTCCAGGCATAAAGATAAATGTTTTAATAGAAGAATATTTTTAAACATGTTATATAACTCTCAGTCTATGCATATAGGTCTGTTTAAGCCTATGTGTGTCATACTTGCAGATTGTCTGCCCTGAAAGCAGCTTCTTATTTTATAGACTTAGAGTCAGAGATATAAAAATTCCACTTAAAATGAACACTTCATGGTTTTAAGGCAGCTAAGGCAGCTAGCTACATGTATGGTAAAGATTATTTACATTTTTTTCTCTAATATACTGTCACTAACAGTTTATCTATCAGCACATTCATTGCTATGCTATTCTTTATTAGCATAATTAGACTGTAATTAGTTATTTCATTTGTATTTCCATTATGCCTTTCACTTTTGACTTCTAGTGCAAGTCCATGACTCAGGTCCCAGTTTGAGACAGGTGCTCAAAAGCGTTTCTATTCAAGCCAAGTCTTATCTATATGTTTTTATGCAAACTGGGGAGAGTCCAGAGGGGGGCAAGTATTTTAAGAAACACAGCGTATGAAAAAGATGGAATTAATTTGATTTATTTATTGTAAAATATGAAAAATAAGGGCACAGCCATGATAATCTTTCGATATGCAAAGAAGTCTGTTATATCTCAGTGAACTAGGAATGACCAGTTTAATTTGCAGCAAAGCAGATCTAGATTAGATATTATTATTAGAAGTCTTTTTCTAAGAATAGTTATCCACTGGGGTAGGCTACTTTAGAGACTCTCTCTATTAGAGGTTCTTAAGGACAGTCAAACAAAACATGTCTGGGATGACCCGGGGTACTTAACCCTGATTCAAAAGAAAGGGCTGGAATAGAAAGCTTCTTCAGGTCCCTTCCAGCCTCAAGTTCTGTGCTTTGAATCCTACCATTTCAAAGGAAATAAAACTTTCCTAAAACTAAAATACATTTAAGTACTGCAAAATTCTTCTGAGAAAAGAAGAGGTCAACATGTAGAGCGGGGTGGGTAAAATACGGCCCGCCAGGCCATTCTATCCAGCCCGCGGGGCCCTTAAAAGACTTAGAAAATTAATATTTATCTGCCCTGGGCTGCCTGTCATGTGGCCCTCGATGGCTTGCCAAAACTCAGTAAGCAGCCCTCTGTCCAAAAGAATTGCCCGCCCCGATGTAAAGGAAAGAAGAAACCTTAGAAAGAGCCCCGCAACACATTCAGGACTGTTAGATATAAACTTCACATGCATAAAGGGACTGTCCCTCAAAGAATTGGGCTCTACAGCAGATGTTCAATGAGCTGATGCCTCACTCAGCACAAATCTGTCGTCTCACAAGACAGATGCCTGCCTATCTATCTTGCTTATCCCTGCACTGGGGCCATAAAATTGCTGGGCCATCTCTCTGTAACATAAAAAATAAAAACATTAAATAAAAAAGTGTATAAACCCCTTGAAATAATGCAAATTCTGAATTTTTAGTAGCATGTCACTGATCTCATTGAAACAAACAGTTGCCATGGTTCTCTGCTGAACACTTCTTACATTTTTAAAGAGTAATAATATCAACCTGCATTATTAATATGTATCTAAGTGCATACTTTGATTGTTTTACTTTACAGCTATTATCAAGTTAAGCTGAAAAGTAAAAGATAATGAATAGCTTTACAGGCATACAAGCATTTACACTAGCCCCTACTGAAACCTACACTTACTTAATTGTACTTATCTACCAATGTATTGTTACTAAAACTTAGTAACATTACACTCTCCCTCTGGCCGTTCCTATTTACAGTGTCAATAAAAATAAGATTCTGGCTAAAGACAGGAAAGCAGCATTTATGAACAAACCATAAAGTCTCTCAAGATGTGCAGGTTGTTTCTTGTACTCCTCCAGCAGGTGGTCTGCTTCCTCTAAAATGCAACGATATTCTGGTATCAGGAAGTCCATGTTTCCCTCATGAACCTGCAACTCCTTAAACAGATTTTGAAATGCTGAAAAAATTAGAAGGCATCAACTCAAAAAGTCATAAACATGGAGTTTAGATGAGAGGAGGTAATATGTAGAGGTGAAATAATTCTCCAAAACTGTTCTTGCTAAGCGTAGAAGTATATCATCTTCCTCACCCCATTAATTTCCAGATGACACCTCCTACTTTTAACACTGGTTTTATAAAAATCTGATATCCCAGTTTCTATTTCTGAACACTAGTTGAATACAGTTCATCAGGATCATTTCCTTACTAGTTGAAGTCTCGGTATTGTGCAATGTTCTTTTTATACAAACTCAATCTGATTTTTCATGTCTTCCTGGGAACTCAAGAATATGGAATAGGCATTGTTATCTGAAAACAAATCCTGCTCAGGTTCTGTGGCTACGTTTGACTGAGGTCCTTTAATTAAAAAAACCCAACCTCCACCACCCCACCCCACCAAAACCCACCATTTGGTTACTTCATTTACAATATAACAGATGAAAGAATAATCAACCGAACAAACATTTGACATCACAACCAACAGGTTATTTGGGTTGGCTTAAAAAAAAAAATCAGCTTGTGTTTGGCACTTATTGGCCACATCTACACAAGGTGCTACTGTGCAGTTGTTACTGTCCATTTATTTACTATTTGTTTATACAAGTAGTAAATAAATCCACAGGAACCCAAGTTACTGAGCAGTAGCACTGGTGAACGCCTTTTTTGACGCTACTGTGCAGTGGCCTAATACTACTGTGCAGTAGCATCGCAATTTTTGCTTTGCGATGCTACTGCGCAGTACTATCGGGCTACTGTGCATTCAAAGTCTTGTGTAGACACACCCACTGAGGTGCAAAACTGAATCTCACAATTTAGAAAACATAGTAAGCTGGGAACTGATCTTGCCAATTATCAAAGTAAGTGTCAGTTTATTTTGTCCTCACCAATCAATGAGAATATCTGAAATTTTAGACAGGTCCAACTCACCATGTTTTAAACCTCAATTTTATTCAGTAAAAATTTATTTTCTACAAGGTTATTTTTTTCAAAAAACGTGTTTCAAATTAATCCCATGCTACCATTACTATGCAAGACTGATGCTTACTGTGGAAGGGGATCACTGAAAGTGGCACTGCCGAGCTGTCATTTAATTTTCTGTGATTTCTATATCAAATGTGCACAGCTTACAAGTAAAAATGTTTTTGCTAGATGACTGCCCAGATGCAACTGAGGATCTGAGAACAAAGCTAGACTTTCCTGAGCATTATCACTTGAGTTGCTATAAGATGAGTTAGGTCCAAATTTGTATTTCAAAATGAATATTAGGTATTTGGAGGTATAAATTATAGATTTCATAGACATTAGGGCTGGAAGGGACCTTGCAAGATCAAGTCCAGCCCCCTGCCCCAGGGGCAGGAAGTCAGCTGGGGTCAAAGGATCCCAGCAAGATAAACATCCAAATGTCTCTTAAAGGAGTCCAGAGTAGGCACTTGCACCACTTCTGGCGGCAGTCTGTTCCAGGTCTTGGACAGTAAAGAAGTTCTTCCTTATGTCCAACCTGAAACAGTCTTGGAGGACTTAGTGACCATTTGAACTTGTCATCCCTTGGGGCGCTCTGGTGAGCAGGCGTTCCCCCAGATCCTTATATATTTATAGGCAGCCACCAGGTCCCCCCTGAGCCTGAGCTTTTCCAGGCTGAAGAGTCCCATGGCTCTCAGCCTCTCATCATAAGGCCTGTTCTCCTGCCCTCTGATCATGTGCATGGCTCTCCTCTGGACTCTCTCAAACTTCTCCACATCCTTTTTAAATTGTGGAGCCCAGAATCAGATGTACTCCAGCTGCGGCCTCACCAAGCCCAAGTAGAGCAGGAGGATGACATCTTGGGATTTGCTTGAGAAGCATCTATGGATGCAAGCCAGAGTTTTGCTTGCTTTATCACCTGCAACATCGCACTGGTGGCTCATATTCATCTTGTGGTCAATCATGACCCCCAAGTCCCTTTCAGCTGTGGTGCTAGCAAGCGTAACACTGGCAAGCCTATAAGTGTGCTGTGGGGTTTTTTTCCCTAAGATGGAGAACCTTGCATTTTTTGGTGTTGAATGCTGTGCCTGTCTGGCCTCGAACATCCGGTCACGTGCCGCGCTGGCCTGGACGTTCAGTGGTGTTCGTCTGTCCGTTCCTGATGTTTTGCCGAGTGGATGTCTCGCTCTGAAGTACTCTCTCCCCAATCTCGCCTGCCACGACTTTGGATCTTGTTCCAGTGGTGGGTGTCCAACTACCGGGTGTCTCTCGACTATGGGACGTCTGTCTGGCGATCTTCTGCAAGGTTCCACCTCCCCTCTACCTTGCTCTTACACCCTGCCTTGACGGGTTCCAGATGTCCTTCGGCCAGTTCCCCCAACTGTTGAGGCTCTGTGTACACTTGCAGAGATGGTCTTATTGGCCTGCTGGGCCTAACCCTACATCTACCCACAGCGCCTAACCACTGCCTAGCCTGCCTGGAGACTGTAAACCCCCTTCAGGTTTAAGCAACACTCAGGCTCCAAACGCCTTGCACCGCAACCCCTCCAACAGTGGGAAGCATAAAATACAAACAACAAAGAAATATAAAGATATTAAGAGAGGCCCTCTGCCCCCTTGACACCTGCTCCCTCAGCCTACCCACCAACGCCAGGCCCCAGATACCCAAGGCCCTCAGTTGGCTGTAAACTGGGTTCGGGCTAGACTGCAGACTACCGTGTCCTCCTCTTCACTCTTTGCCCAGCCTGTGGGTTTGCTTGACCCATGGTGGTCCTTCTCTGTACGCCTCCCCCACATCCCCCGTCAGGGCAGCTCTATGCCCCTGGGGTCCGTCTTCTGCAGCCCCTCATGCTGCTTATGCCCTTTGTCCCCAACCTGAGGCACCTCCTCAAGCCCTCCTGTGACCGCCGGGCTTCAATTACCCACTCTCGGGCAGTGTTAGCCTTGCAGGTAGATGTCAAACACCTGTTGGGATCTTGTCGGCATCAGAGTAGCTCTCTTTTCTCCGTGTCCCCAACCCCGTTCTCGGCCGACTTGATGTTCCTCAGTGTAAGGGGTCGGTTTGCGGGACATTCCGTGGCCCAGGATCTCTCGGCGGTCACTTCACGGGGCTCCGCCACCCCTGCACCCCGGCCTCACCCCACCTTCGGTGTGTCCTTCCTCCGCTGGTCCTGTTCCCCAGCCATGGAATGACACCACCAGTCCTGCCCCTAAGTGGCCACGACCCCCTGTCATGGCAACCCCAGTAAGTTCGACCCACGGCCCACCTCGCCTACTCCCCTCCCTTCAAGGAACGGGGACTCCAAAGAAAACTCTGGCCTCACCAAGGCCCCCTTCAGCCTCACTCTGGAGGCACACTGCCCCTAGCTCTTTCTGCCCCAGCCAGGGTTAACCAAACAAAACAACCCCAAAGAAATGCTGACTACTTAAGCGTCTCGCTACTTGCTGAGCTGTCTACTCTGAGCCCTCCTTGACTCCCTTCTGGCCCGTCCCTGGCCACTTACTTCCCCCGGTCCCTCCTCCTGCTTAGCACCCCAGCAGCTTGGCAGCGATGCCCGCCCCGACTGTACCCCCTTGGGGCTCTCCTCCCTGGTGCGGCTGTCTCTGCGTGCTGTCGTTTCGGCACCCCACCTCTGGGTCGCGCTGCTCTCTGGCTTCCGTCTCGCCGCATCCTCCGGAGCCATACCTTCAGCTCCCTCGTTGTCTGGGGCAGTCTTCAGCTGAGGGATCCGTTTCTGCTCTGTCTGTGTCTCCGCTGGCTCTCCTGGCTCTGCGCTGCTTGCCATCGCTGCCGCTCCTCTCGCCGATGGGGCTGATCGTCACTCCTCGCTGGGGCTATCCTCCCCTCTGCAGCTGCAGCCGCCGTTTTTATCCCTGCTGGCCAGCATCTCTCTGTGACATCACCGGCTGGGTGTAATTGGATAAAAAGGCGGCTAATGACCCGCACGGGCTCCTCCCTCCGCCTCATGTGCATCTTGTCTGGAGCTGCAGGTGAGTCCCGTTTACCGTTTTGCTTCCCGGGACACCTCTGGAGCCCTCAATGGTCCCACCTGGTCTGGCGTCTTGGTATCTGCTGCTCCCTCTGGCTCCTCTGCAGTAACCCCTGGTGTCAAGCTCCTTCTGCTCTTCCCGGTCTTCAAACCAGGTCCCCAGTCTCAATGAGGTGCTTTGGATCCCTCGCTCCCTGCGCTGCCGCTGGCAGCGTCATTCCCGTGGTGGGCTTCGCTGTGTCCTCCCGTGCTGGGAGAGGCAGCTTCCTACCCTTTTCCCCCTCACAGGGGCTCCAGGAGAGACTTCCCTGCTGGCATCCCTGCGAGTCTCTCCCCTTCTTCCTTGCCAGCAGCTCCTTTTATCCCCACCGGCTGGCTCCTGCAGCCGACGTTATCAGCCAGCCACAGCTGTATAAAGACACGGCTAATGAGCTGCTCGGGTCCCACCTCCATTTCCGGCTTCGCCGTGGATCCTGCTGCAGGTAAGAAGGTTTTAGTTTCTTTTCTTTTATGTTTGTTTTCTTCTAAGGGTTCCTGACCCTGGGGTTCCCTCCTGGCTGTTTGGGGTCTTCCTCTCTGTCTCTCCTTGTGACAAACGCCATCAAGTTTCTGTCCACCCATTTTCTGAGCCTGTCTAGGTTGGTCTGGATTGCTATCTTGTCCTCAGGTGCGGACGCTTTACCCCAAAGTTTGGTATCATCGGTGAACTTGGCCAGGCCGCTTCTGATACCAATGTCCACATCATTAATGAAGATGTTAAAGAGTATAGGCCCAAGGACAGAGCCTTGGGGAACATCACTGGCTATGGTGCACCATGATTATTTACTTCCGTCTATTACCACTCTCTGGGTCTGACCTCGGAGCCAGTTCCCTAGCCATCAGACTGTGATGTAGCTGAGGCCACAGTTGGCCAATTTTTCCATGAGATAATCACAGGACACCAGATTGAAGGCTTTTCTAAATGAAGATATATGACATCAATCTCTTCT